TGCCTCTTACACCTTCAGACTGACTCATACCATGGTATTCAACGGTTAGAGGCCGAAACATTTAGTTCGTTTGGTTCCCCGCGCTGGGAATTGAAGTAAAGTTTGCCCTTTATTCCTTAAAACGGATGCCATGTATCCTACTGCCGAACGCCCCCTGCTTTGCTGTCAGATCTTTGAAACATAGACTTTGGCTGTGAACAGTATTGTTCTCTTGTCTATGTCCAAGCAACCTGACATAACTCTGACCACGCAACACAAGGGAAACCTCTCATAACAAAGTTTAAGAGTGTGTTCTTCAATGAGTTTAGTAAACAAAGCCCTATCTGTTAACTGTGTAGTATGGATTGGCGGCCAACATGTACCTGTTTACATTTCACAGGTTTTTATTCCTTCTATTACGATTCTTCACAGTTAGCATCTCGTACCAAGTTCACATTATCTTCCGTTTTCATTACCCTACTTCGCGGTCATCCCTCGTCTCGCTCTGATAGGCGCTTGTCTTCTAGGTTAAAATGACAATCGCACAACATCCCTTCTTCACTGTGGATAAGTTCATGTTCAACCGAGCAAATAACCTTAGTTCCTCCGCTTTTATTTTGATCCATCGATCCTCGCTAAGTGGCATGACCTAAAGTGAGCACCTTGTAGCAGATAGGTTAACAGGCAGCACTTGGCGGGACAATGCAAACTTTAGCGATCGGTATTTGCTACTTATCAGTAACCCGCCCGCAAGGATCGAGTAATGTGCCCATTCTACGATCCCCATACATGTGAGGCTGGCACTGCATTCTCACTGCGTCTACCTGGAGACGATACAATTTCAAAGGCCGACATAGGTACTTCGTTAAGCGCTCGGGCTGAAGCCACTCTGGTAGACTGAATCTGCGTCAGTTTCTGGATGTACGCCATCCGACTATTTAGCTCTATCAAAACGCTGAAGTTTAATGAGGCTAATAGGCACTTATTTGTCATTTGCACATGCTTCGCCACAAACTGCATTTCAGACTTGTTGAAAGGTGACTTCTCTTACCAACTGAACTAACTCTTTCCAACGCAAAATGTACCGACGCTGTGGTAATGGCTATTGCTCCAACTCTCGTTAGAAAATTGT